ACCTCTGTTATAACAACATCATAATTTCGTATTTCTATATACAGACTTGGAAATTTTAAAAAACATATGCCTGTTATGTAAATATTTAGTTCATCACTAGATGGAGTTCTTGCAGTACAACTATGTGTTGGGTAGCCATTAGAATAATCTTTGTTTTCCTTAAAGTAAGCATATGTTTTGTTTGTTTGTTTTTTAAACTAAATGTATAAGCAAACAGCTGTTAACCATATAACATGGTAATAGGAATACATAGTAACATGCAGTCACAATCTTTGCATTGGAAGGCTGGGCAGAGGGGCAGTTAAACTGGTTCCCCGATAATCAGTGGAACTACAGTTTTTATTATTAATTTGTGCAGCACAATTCTTTTGAAGAAACTCTAGTGATTGAGCATCAGCTTGTCTAAAGACTTGCTGTGCCCTCACAGCGGCACTGAAAGTAAATTCTTCAGGCATTCCATCCGAAGTTACATGGTCATTAGTGTCTGTCCACTCCTTGTCTTATCCTTGCTCGTGTCCTTTTGGCCTTAACAAGTATTGTCCACCTTCTTTCCCACTTCGAACTCTAAAAACCAAGCTGAGGATAGAATGTTTTTTTTTTCTTACTTTCTGTGTACTTACATCTTGGGAAGAGGAGAGTGTTTTCACCAACAGCTGAATGTATATTCAGCACTTCAGTCCGGCAGTTAGCCATGTTTGGGTTTGTGCTTCTCTCCTACTTTCCCTTTATTCCTCTATGAATAATACAATAGAACACTTTCATACCATGTGCTCTAACCAACTGAGCTAGCTGGCCAAGGCCATGATAAGATCTCTTGATGATTCCCTCTACACTTTTCACTCTAGCTTGGTTTTCTCTGCTGAGCCCTGCCTAATTTTAAGTTCCTGTGCTGACAGTTTTACATGCAAGGGCTGTGATCTTAGCCAAAACTGAGCTCGACCCCTCCCCACTGTCCTGCCAGGCCCTGGCTTTACTTTCTGTTTCCTATCCTGGTCAGTAACATTGTCTTCTTTTCAGTCACCCAGGAGAGAGACTACAATCGCTCCTTCATCTCCTGCGTTGGGATTTCTCAGCCCTGGCACTATTGCCATTTTTGGCTGGGTAATTTCTTTGTTGTGTGGGGCTGTCTTGTGCATTGTAGATGTTTAGCAGCCAGCCCTGGCCTCTCCTCCTTAGATGCGATAATAATCTCCCTCAGTTATGCCAACTAAAAATGTCTCCAGATGTTTTGAAATGTCAAATAGGGGAACAAATAACCCCTATTTGAGAACCATTATCCATGTCTAATCTGTTACTTAACCTTATTGATTCTACTTTCTCAATTTACCTTGAATCCTTCCTCATATCTTCATTCCTCTCCTACCTCCTATTTGTTTATGGATTTGTCTAGCCTGCTTTTCTCTGATGTTCTTTCTTCCCAATCCACCCTCCTCAGTGATGCCGAATTTATCTTTCTAAAAGGCAAAGCTGTTCTGTATTTACATCTTTCAGTAGCTTCCAGCCAGGACCCTTGTGAGCTGGCTTCTTTTTATATTTAACCTTATTTTTCTTTTAGTTTAACTTTATTGTTTAAAGTATTACAAATAGTACATATGTCTCCTTCCCTCTCCAATCTCCCTCTCCCCTTCTGTTGACCACCTCCTGGCCTCCCCTACCTCCTGGCACATACCCTCACTACACCACCACCCCAGTGTCTTGTGGTCATGGTTATGCTTATATTGATTTCTTACCCACCCTCCCAAACTTCCCCAGCCTTCCTGTTTGACAGTCTGTTCGATGCTTCGTTGCCTCTGTATCTATTTTTGTTCATCTGTTTATAATGTTCTTTATATTCCACAAATGAGTGAGATCATGTGGTATTTTTCTTTCACTGGCTGGCTTATTTCACTTAGCATAATGCTCTCCAGTTCTATCCATGCTGCTGCAAATGGTAAGAATTCCTTCTTTTTTACAGCAGCATAGTGTTCCATTATATAAATGAACTACAGTTTTCTAATCCACTCATCTGCTGATAGGCATTTAGGCTGTTTCCAAATCTTAACTATTGTAAATTGTGCTGCTATGAACATAGGGGTGCATGTATCCTTTCTGATTGGTGTTTCTGTTTTCTTAGGATATATTCCTAGAAGTGAGATTACTGGGTCAAATGGCAGTTCCATCACTACAGTTCTTGCTTCCCAGGCAAATGTGTGCTGAGCCTTCTTACCACTGTGCCATACTTTGTTTCATACACTACTTAGGCATCAATTCCTCCATGGTAGCCCTTAGTCAGCCTTACTGAAAGTCAGGATTGAGGATGGGGAAAGGAAATAAGACCTCCCAATTCAGAATTCTTTATTCTGTCACAGTGCCTTGCAAGATTGTTAATGTTTATGTGTTGAAAAAATCCATCTATGATGGCAGTTAAACCAGAAATTATGTCTTTCTGTCACTTTTTAGGGAGTGGCATAAAATGTATCACTTCCTTTCAAAAGAGATATTCTAAATAAGAAAAGTTGTTACAGAGGTTTCAAGACACAAAACTGGGAAGAGCCAGGTGACCTACAGGGAAGATCCCTCCTTTCTCACCTGCTCTTCAAGGACCGAAGGAGATCATAGGGGACACGTGACACACTGCCCTTTATCTGAAGAGCCGTTTTGTCAAGGACCCAGATTTGTCCTGCTTGTCTCCTAATTTCTCTCTTTCCCACACTCTCCTTTCCTTTCTTTAAAATTAAAACTTTTAAATTTAACTATTAAAAAAATACCAGTTAAACTCCTCTTTAGAACCTTAATCTGCTTTATGAAAGAAAGATGTGTTATTTGGGGAGAAGGGGACAAAAAAATGTCTCCTAGCTGCTATTTCAAAAGAAATTTTACTTTGAACTTGAAAAATTTTGCATTATAATGCTTCTGTTATATACAGACTAAAAAAATCTGTAATCATATTTTGAATATAGTAAAAGAATTTTAATGTTTTAATATCAAGTTTTGGTTCTTGAAGTTATAATTTTTTGTTTTTATTTTTTTAAAATTTTTTTTAAATTATTACCTGTGTACATATTTTACCATTGCTTCCCCCATATATATCCTCCCTCCCTAGAGTTTTGTGTTCATTGGTTGTACTTATATGCATGTATACAGGTCCTTCGGTTGATCTCTTATCTCCCCCAGATCTCCCTACCCTCCCCGATGTAATTTGACAGTCTGCTTGTTGCTTTGCTGTCTCTATATCTATCTTTTGGTTCATCAGTTTATAATGTTCTGTATTATCCATAAATGAGTGAGGTCATGTGGTGTTTCTCTTTCATTGACTGGCTTATTTCACTCAGCATGATGTTCTCCAATTCCATCCAGGTTGCTGCAAATGATGAGAATTCCTTCTTTTTTATGGCAGCATAGTATTCCATTGTGTAGATATACTATAGTTTTTTTATCCAATCATCTGCTAATGGGCACCTAGGCTGTTTCCAAATCCTAGCTATTGTAGATTGTGCTGCTATGAACATAAGGGTGCATATATCCTTTCTGATTGGTATTTCTAGTTTCTTGGGATATAATTCTAGGAGTGGGATTACTGGGTGAAATGGGAGTTCCATTTTCAGTTTTTTGAGGAAACTCCATACTGTTCTCCACAGTAGTTGCACCAGTCTGCATTCCCACCAGCAGTGCACGAGGGTTCCTTTTTCTCCGCAACCTCGCCAACACTTGTCATTTGTTGATTTGTTGATGTTGGCCATTCTGACAGGTGTGAGATGGTACCGCATTGTTGTTTTGATTTGAATCTCTCGGATAATTAGTGACTTTGAGCATGTTTTCATGTGCCTCTTGGCCTTCCTTCTGTCTTCTTTTGAAAATATTCTATTTAGGTCCATTGCCCATTTTTTTAATTGGATCATTCATTTTCCTTTTATTTAGTTGTATAAACTGTCTGTAGATGTTGGAGATTAAACCTTTATCAGTGATAACATTTGCAAATATGTTCTCCCCTACAGTGGGCTTTCTTGTTGTTGAAGTTATAATTTTTTAAATCTCTTGTACATCTTTAAGGCCCTACTTGATCTAAGTAAAAGATACTGTTGTGGTGAGCCACTTTGTTTTCCATATACTTTTCAATATAGAGATTATACTGATGTAGACTTTCTCAGTAAGTTATTTACCTATTACCAGAATGATATAGTTTTAAACGGGTAACAACCTTTAACCTAGTGAGGGTCAGGTAGAGAATGTATATTTTAACAAGGCATAGTCAGTTCTCATTATTCACAATAGTTATGTTCTTACAAAAGCTCCACAACACTGAAGTTGTGAATTTTGAGCCATTGCTCCTAGGGGGAATATAGGGTCTCTGTGAGCCTCTGTTGTAACATTTTCATCAAGCCATCAATACATAAGTTTGTTTTATGTGTTTCTGTTTAAAGATACCTCATTTAATATAGATTGTTGATTCATTACCATCGAACTCAAGGCCATTAGTGCTGTAACTCATGCCTGAAAAAGCTTATCTAACAGATACTTACTCCATAAGGCACATCACAGCCTCTTGCCCCAGGAACAGATAGCACTTCAGCACTATGCTTGGGGGCCATTTTAAACAGAAAGCACAAAAATGCAAAGTACCCGGCACTAAATAGATCACAGAAAAAGGACACTTGATTATGAGAGTTGGAACAGAAGGGCTGAGTGTTGTCTTGATCAGTGTCAGATGGGAACATGCTTTTCCAAGGACACACATTTTTCCACTGCAGAAGACCGAGAAAGGATCCCAAGCCTTGCTTTTGGGGTTACAAATACATTTTGTTGAGTAGGCAAATTCGCAAATACAGAAATGAGGATTGACTCTCATTTAAAGAAGCTTATGATTGAATACTTAGAATATTGTAATTTGAAAGTGTCTCTTGTTTTTCAGGATGTGGGGAGTTTTTGGTTAAGTGGAGTCATCCTCATAGTTTTCGTGTTTTATTGTCCAGTGGAATAAAACTGGCTGGTTTCAGAGTGTCATTTTATTTTCTCCCTCACAGGGAACAACCCATCTTCAGCACTCGTGCTCATGTCTTCCAGATTGACCCTAACACAAAGAAGAACTGGGTACCCACCAGCAAGCACGCAGTTACTGTGTCTTATTTCTATGACAGCACAAGAAATGTGTATAGGATAATCAGTTTAGATGGCTCAAAGGTAAGTTACATTTACTTTAAATAATCTTGCTATTTTGCTTTATACAGTATAGCATCTCAGTTTTAGAGGAATGTTTATTAAAATATTGAGAGATTTTAAAACAACTTTAAAAAACAAAATTGATCATTTTAAAAAAATACTTTCTTATTGATTTCAGAGAAGAAGGGAGAGGGAGAGAGAGAAACATCAGTGATGAGAGAGAATCATTGATCGGCAGGCTCCTGCATACCCCACACTGGGGATTGAATTTGAAATCTGTGCATGTGCCCTGACCAGGAATCAAACCTTGATTCACAGGTTGATGCTCAACCACTGAACCATGCTGGCTGGGCCAACATTGATCATTTTTAAGGTATTGACATATTTTGTCCACTAAATTACTTGGATTAACCACCTTATTTATACTAAATTACATGTCAAAATACTCTACAAATCTGAGATCAGTTTTATTTGGGAAATATTCATTGATTATCTGTTATATGTCAGACATTATGTTAGGGGCTAGGAATATAGTGGTGAATAGGGTGGATGTAATTTCCACTCTTACAGATTAGTATGCTGTTCAAAATCCCTAAATCATATGAAGTCTATCAATAGCAATATTAAAGTTTATCCTTCATTTGGAAAGAAGCCTATGGAGAGTTCCTACATTTTTATTTTTAGGAGAGGCAGATAGTCTAATATTTAAGAGCATAGCCAAGACCGGTTTGGCTCAATGGATAGAGCATCAGCTTGGGGACTGAAGGGTCCCGGGTTCGATTCCGGTCAAAGGCATGTACCTTGGTTGTGAGCGTATCCCCAGTAGGGGGTGTGCAAGAGGCAGCTGATCCGATGACTCTCTCTCATCGATGTTTCTAACTCTCTATCTCTCTCCCTTCCTCTTTGTACAAAATCAATTAAAAAAATATATATATTAAAAAAAAAAAAAGAGCATAGACTACCTGGATTCATGTCTCAGCTCTTCCATCTACTAAGATTTTGACTTTGGGCAAATTACCTCTCTGAGCTTCATTGTTCTCACCTCAGTGCTTGAAATTGTAAGGATTAGCTGAGTTAATATATGCAAAAACACTTAGTTAGTGCCTGATGGATAGTATACCCCTCAAAAGGGGAAAAATTCCAATTTTTTATCAGTGAATTTTGAACAACACATGAAGATAAAGAAATGCTAAGCATCATATTCTGGATATAAAGTGTGTAGAATGAGGGCTCCATTCTTTTTCTTCAGTGTTCATGAAGCCACGAGGCCTTTCTGTTCTCAGGAATTTTAGCAATTTAGTTTAGGGGTTAAGGACACAGATTGTATAACCGGACTGTCTGGTTTGAATTTTTGCTTTACTACTTGCTAGCCATTTGGCCTAGAGCAAGTTATTTAATGTCTTAATACCTCAGTTTTCTCATCTGTGAAAAAGAATTAGTAAGTTGTCTACATCATCAGATCATGGAATCATTGTAAAGATGAAATATATTTAGGCAAAAGCACTTCAAGGGTGTATAGTAATCCCTATACAAATACAACTGTTACTGTTACCATTATTAATATTATCAAGCTGTTAATTATGTAGTACTGAGTGGTTTGGGGGATTAAAAGAAAAATCTGATTTAATGCTCAAACTTCAGTCTTTTCTGTGTGCTCATTTCTTATACCCTGTTTCCCCGAAAATAAGACTGTCATATATTAATTTTTTCTCCCAAAGTTGCGCTAGGTCTTATTTTCAGGGAAACATGGTATTATTAACTAGATTATAGACTCCAGGGGCTATTTGTACTTCGGTTCACAAGTGACTAATTTGTATTTATTTGAATAATTGATCCTATTTTCATTTTCATTTGGAGGATTTAAAGGACTTGGAAAATTGAAATAGTTAATGTCTGTGAAAGTTTTTTTTTTAAATGAAGAACAATTTTGTCATAGTTTATAAGTGAAGTTAACAGATATTATTATTAATTTAGATTCTAGAATGTTAATTTATTTCTTTTCCCTGATTTGAATCTTTAGTTCTCTATGATCTGTGTTTCTCTCTTGGCCCAAACTACAGATAAAATGTCAATTTATTAGACAGGAGAGTTAGATGGTATAAAAAATAAAGTTCAACTGAAGTAGTCTCATGTACTATGTGATTAAGTAATCCTCATGTGTCTTCCTTCTGGAGCATTATGAACTATTGCTTCTGGCATTTTTATTTTTGAACATACTTTGCAGCTTGTAATTTTTAGACTCTTAAATAATTCCTTTGAAAAGTTTTTGTTTCATTTCTTTTAATAAATTCCACCCTCTGTAGCAATTACATGTTTCTATCACATTTTCTACTTTCTAGTTACCTTTCTAAGCTGATGCTGTTAACCACTGCAGTTCCCTGCAGGAGTCATCGGGGTTTTTTTGTTTTGTTTTTTATAAGCCCTACTGGCTTATTTGATGCAGCTAAGTGAGTGTTTTTCTTACTACTCTCACTTCTGTTTCTGCACAGTGTGATCAGTTGAAAAGACCTTAGGTGCTCTGACTAGAAAATGTACTTTTACTGAGCTAGTAAAGTTTGCAGAGACATCAACTTGGCCAAAGGCCAGGATCAGGGCACTCCATGATCTGTAATAACACAGCATTTCTACCTCTTCTCCTTGAAAGGACAAGAACGTTGGGATTGAGACATGTTTATTTTATAGAACTAACTTTTTCTTTTAATTGGATTCACTGTAGCATTCTATTCAAGGAAGTCTAATAAAATATGTTTTTAAGGAAATGTTCAGAATGGGGATTAAAACAGAACACTTAACTGAAAAGTAGAAAAAGTTCATTTGAAATAGTTAAAGCTGAAGGTCAGTACCACATGGATGGGTTTCTCAGCTGCCTGGAACATCTATTGCCATCTCACTTTCTGAGTTATTAGGGTCACGTGTTAAATGCTCTTCTCTTCTTGAAAACACTAATGTACCTTCCTCAGGGTACAGTCCAGGATCGTGGGATCCAAAGTAGTGCCTGACAGTCCTGGCCATCTAGCCTTTATCATATCCTGGCCTTATGGTCTTCATAAGCACTTACCACTCACAGAAAATTTGTCAGCTGTTTATTTATGTAGTCATTGATGGACTCTTTTTGCTGTAGAATGTGATCCACTATTATATTGCCTCTTATTGTATCTCAGGTTTATAGAATTGTGCTTGACATTAATAGGTACTCAATAAAATAGTTGAATAACCAAATGGTTCCTTAGCAAACTAATACTTACCCACAGGGAATACTTCCAAGACTGTGAGTGGATGCCTGAAAATGCAGATAGAACTGAATTGTTTCCTGTACAAACATACACTTTACAGCTTTTCTTTGGTATACTCAAATTGCCAGCGTCACTACTCTTGTGCTTTGGGGCCATTATTAAGTGAAATAAAGGTCACCTGAACACAAACACTGGGACATTCAACAGTCAGCCTGATAACCTAGACAGGTACTAAGTGACCGTGGGCAGGTAGCGTATGTAGTGTGGCTAATGCTGGACAAAGGCATGATCAGGAGGCAAGACAGGACAGCGAGAGATTTCATCATAATACTCAGAACAGCATGCAACTTAAAACTTATGAATTGTTTACTTCTGGGAATTTTCCATTTAATAATTCAGACTTCTGTTGATCACAGGTAACTGAAACTGGATATAGGGGGACCATTCTATATTCTTTTCCATTCAGTCTTTTCATTCTATGACAATCTCGCAAATTAGTGCAGTTATTAGCCACATTTTACAGGATCTATTAATAAAATGACATGCTAGCTAGGAAAAGCAGCTTTTGAATTGAAGAGTAAGGAGGTATATGAGTATATAAATTTTGTAAGAGGTAAACAAAAAAACTTAAGGACAAGGGCTCCATATAACAACAGGTGACACATTTGCTGTCTTTTAGAGAAAGCAAGGGACCACTCTTCTACTGTCTTCTTTAGCAGCCAGGTGTCATACTTTCTTTTTTTATTTTTTATTAAATTATTATCTGTGTACATACTTTACCATTGCCCTCCCTCCTCCCATACAAACCCACCCTCCCCAAAGTTTTGTGTCCATTGGTTGTACTTATATGCATGTATACAAGTCCTTCGGTTGTTCTCTTATCTCCCCCAGATCTCCCTCCCCTCCCCGCTGTAATTTGACAGACTGCTTATTGCTTTACTGTCTCTATATCTATCTTTTGGTTCATCAGTTTATAATGTTCTTTCATACTTTCATTATTATAACTTCACCAGTGCCTGCTTAGCTCATAAATATTTACATTATATGGTTTTTCACATGGTAAATTTAGCTTTGTTCTAAAAATGCTTGATTTTTATTCCATAGTTAATAAATTACCAGAAAACCACTTATGAATGTGATCACATTTTAATTTTTAATTTTTAAAATATATTTCATTGATATTTTACAGAGAGGAAGGGTGAGGGAGAGAGAGCTGGAAACAACGATGAGAGAGAAACATCCAACATCCATCAGCTGCCTCCTGCACCCCCCCCCCCCCCCCCCACACACACACACACTGGGGATGTGCCCGCAACCAAGGTGCATGCCCTTGACTGGAATCAAACCTGGGGCCCTTGAGTCTGCAGGCCAACACTTCATCCACTGAGCCAAACCAGTCAGGGCACATTTTTATTTTTAATGAATCACTTTGTAATCTCAATTTTGGAGGGCAGTAGACTTAAATAAAATGGATTCTAAACTTTCACAGTCCTGGCAGAGGAATTTAAGTTAGGTAATGTTATAATAATAGTTGAAATCTATTTTAGTGATCACCAAAGTTAATATTTAATAACATACTAAAATACTAGTTTTATAAGAAACTATGTGTTAAACAGATATGATAGTGATTCTCCATATCATGAATTTATACCACTTTATGAGAAAAGAAATGAAGTATGTATTTCAAGGTTTGTTTTTCCCTTGAGTAAAGGAAAAATACTAAATGATTGAAAGTCTTTTTTGTATCATAATATATTTCAAGTAAGTTAGCTTTTGGAAAATGGTTGATTATGCATTTGAGAAAATTAGTGTACAAATAGAAAATTTTCCTATTGATGTGTTCATTTTTGAAAAATTTTTTGGGGAATGAGAAATAACTATTTTAAAGAAACAACTGTTAAAACTTACTTGCTTTTAGTGACTATCATCAAAATTAATAGATGTTAAGTAAACATCTATTTTGACTGTAAGGTATTGAAATTTTTGATAGAGAGCCATTTTATTTATAGTCCTAATAGTTACCTTTTTTCCACTCTGTCACTTGCAATAATATAAACTATTTCTATAACTATACTGTATATTTAATGTAGTGGCTCATTAAGAATCCTAAATTTTTATGTAACTAAATAATCCTGAGTTTAAATGTCTGTTTGCTAATGTTGGGCAGGTTATTCATACTTGCTTTATTTTTCAGGCAATAATTAATAGCACCATCACCCCAAACATGACATTTACAAAAACTTCTCAGAAGTTTGGCCAGTGGGCCGATAGCCGGGCAAACACTGTTTATGGACTGGGATTCTCCTCTGAGCATCATCTTTCAAAAGTAAGTTAATTCATCAGATCTAAGTGGAAATCTTCATCTTTAGATCAGATGTCTTAAATAGATAGTAGCAAATGGAGAGTGTAAAATACATAGGAGAAATTTGTTTAATATTCTCTTAACTGTTGCGATTTTAGAGCAGGAAGATAATCATTGGATTCTGTTGTCAATTGGAAAATTTATTGCACACATTAAAAATAGTCACTGCTGATTGAGAAGGCTTTGAATAGTTAACTGTGTGTATGATAGGAAATAAAACATCTGAATTACCACTTCAGAATGGACTTTGCTCATGACTTTACATCCTTAGTTGGAGATAGTCTGCAACATAGGTAGATACCAACCTGTTATGAATTATGAAAACTCAAGCTGATAATGGTATGTATTTCAACTTTCTGACATGACAGTAGACACATATAAACCACTATGTTTAGGGAAAGCTGTGCATTGTCTGGGTCAGAATTACTCTGAGCTCTCTGATGCAATACAGAGACCCAATAGATACTATGAAGAGTTCTTGGGAAATACTCCTCTTCTGACCAAGTGAAGTACTATGGCTAGAAAAGCCAATATAATACAGAGCATCACCAGGCTAAATATTGGAAGCAAAACAGTTGTCCTGCCTATAAGCAAAGCCAAGCAGTGTTCACATCAGCAGCACCTTGAGTTCTGTGGTTATCACATGGAAAGAATATGTAAGGAAAAAAGGAAACAATCTCAGGATGTAGGGTCTTTCCGTAGCTGGGGTTCAGGAATCTGGAAAAGGGGCTGCGCGTGAATGGATAAACTAGACATGAGATATAAGTTTTGAAGGCATGGGGGAAAGCCACACAGAAACTTAGTTCTAGTGACTTAAGCTCCCTGAGAATCTCCAGACTCGTGGCTTTTTATTTGCTGGAAAACACTTTGCCCTTTAGGAAAGCAGATATACATATCAAAGGTAAGGTTTGATAAACAGGAAAAGATTATTAGGTTAGGGGAAATGCCTTTGGCTGTTCCAGCAGCAGGTAATAGCATGCAGATTTTCAGCCCTGCTGAATATGTCCATTCAACCTTTTGAGGAATTCTTGCATTTATTATGACCCCCTGGACTTAGTCTCCAGCATTGGGATACTAAGATGATGGAGAAAATGACTCAATTTTGCTCTTCAAATTCTGTGCTCACCCAACCCAAAGATTTATGCTTAAAACTTCTCTCAAGCTTTCAGTTAAAAGGACAACCCTACATTTGAAACACTTTACATGTGTTTTAGTATACACAGGATCTCATGGCTTGAGACTTCAAATTGTTGGGGTCATTCAGATTCTTTTTAAAAGTCTTACACTTTTTGTGAATATTGACTTGAGGTTATTATTAGATAGTTCAGTGGATATCACATGGAAAGAATATGTAAGGAATAAGTATGAAATAAGCTATTTGTTTCCTTTTGTTTTAGTTATAAACATTCCTTAACACTTGTTTTCAGATGTTATCTTTTTCATAAATTGTAGTTTAAAGCTCAATTTTTAGACGATTTTAACTTTTGCCTTGGTGATTATAAGTCATTTTTATAGGACAATTAAAACAAACAAGTTATCTAATTTGGTTTCTCTTATTTTTTTTTAATAAGTTTTTATTGTTCATACTATTACAAATGTTCCTTTCCCCCCTCCTCCCACCATTGCTCTCCTCCACCAGGTTCCCACCCCACCCTCTGCCCTTTCCCCTCTCCCCATTGTCCTCATCCATAGGCGCACAGTTTATGTTCAGTCTCTTCCCACGCCCCCCTCTCCCCTTTTCCCCAAGAATCGTCAGTTCACTCCCCTTCCATACCTCTGATTCTATTATATTCAACAGTTAATATGGTTCATCAGATTTTTTTAATTTCCTTGGTTTTTAGATTCACTTGTTGATAGTTACGTATTTGTTGTTCATAATTTTTATCTTTGTTTACTTTCTCTTCTGAAAGAACTCCCTTCAGCAATTCATATAATTCTGGTTTGGTGGTGATGAACTCCTTTAGCTTTTTTTTATTAGTGAAGCTCTTTATCTGGCCTTCGATTCTGAGTGATAGCTTTGCTGGGTAGATTATTTTTGGCTGTAGGTTCTTGCTATTCATCACCTTGAATATTTCTTGCCATTCCCTTCTGGCCTGCATGGTTTCTGTTGAGAAGTCAGCTGACAATCGTATAGGTGCTCCTTTATAGGTTACTACCTTCTTTGCTCTTGCTTCTTTTAATATTCTCTTTGTCTTTTGCTCTTGGAATTTTAATAATGATGTGTCTCGGTGTGGTCCTCTTTGGATTCCTTTTGTTTGGAGTTCTGTATGCTTCCTGGACTTGTAAGTCTAATTCTTTCACCAGGTGGGGGAAGTTTTCTGTCACTATTTCTTTCAGTATGTTTTCGATATCTTGCTCTCTCTCATCTTCTGGGACCCCCATAATTCTGATGTTGGTTCGCTTGAAGTTGTCCCAGAGGTTTCTTACATTATCTTCAATTTTCTGGATTCTCTTGCCTTCTAGTTTCTGTGGAGGAGTGTCTTCTGGCTCTTTATGTTCCAAATCTTTGACTTGATTCTTGCGATCATCCCTCCTGTTTTTAGGACTCTGTAAAATATTTTTTATTTCAGACAATGTATTCTTTATTTCTTGTTGATCCCTTATCATTTCTTGTTGACTCCTTATTAATTCTAGTTGATCTCTTTTCATATCCTCATAAGCCTTATCCATCTTTTCTAGGAAATTCTTGAAAAACCTTATAAGCGTAGATTTGAACTCTATATCCAGATGCTTTTTGTCCTCCATTTCTTTTGTTTGTGATCTATTTTGTTGTCTCATTTCACAGTTACAGATGGGGCGGGGTTTCAGGGTGGAGCCTGCAGCTTTGGCTTCTGTCAGCCCCGCCCTATGCGGGTCCTTCAGTGCTCGCTGCCAGCGCCTCTGAGAGAAAGGTGCCCTCGATTTTCGCCTGCTGCCAAACAGGCTATGCTCTCCCACAATGAGCCCGGTATTGGGGTTCAGTTCAGTTGGAAGTGGAGTTGGAGGTGGCGTTCACAGCAGTCTGGAGCCCCAGTCTCCTTCCCGTCAGGGCAATCCCCCGGCACAGCCGACCGTCCCTTCTCTGCGCGCAATGTGCGCCTCCGGGACCTCCTTCCGCCTCTCCCCGGGGTTCCGCCTTACAGCCCGGCTCCCTATGGCTGAGCCTGAGTCCCCGGGGTCCGGCCTAGAACTGGGGTTCAGAGCAGTCGGGGGCCCAGCACAGTCGGAGTTTTATCTCCTTTCCGCTGGGGAACGCCCGCCAGGCACTCGGCCTCCCTCCTCTCAGGTCCGTCCTCTCCGCACCCCGCGTCTCCGTACCTTGGGCTTTTCCAGCTCCTCCGCGCCTCCTTCTGGTTTTCTCCTTGCTTCTCGCTGTAGAATTTCCAGTCAGTCAACCTTCCTGTAGTTCTGGGCAATGTCCGTTTTATATTTTAGTTGTATTTTATTGAAATTGTTGTGTGCGGCTGCGGCTAGGTGTTCACCTGGGCGCAGCCATCTTGGATCTCCCTAATTTGGTTTCTCTTATACCAGTGGTTTTGCAAACTCATTAGTCAACAGAGCCAAATATCAACAGTACGATTAAATTTCTTTTGAGAGCCAAATTTTTTAAACTTAAACTTCTTCTAATGCCATTTCTTCAAAATAGATTCTCCCAGGCTGTGGTGTTTTATGAAAGAGCCACACTCAAGGGGCCAAAGAACTGCATGTGGCCCTCGAGCCGTGGTTTGCCGACCACTTTCTTATACCCAGCTAATTCTCTAAATACATTACTTGAACTGTGGTAGAGGTATACATTTTAGAATCAAAGTATTTCAACATAATGGGGACACAGGCATCTGGCTGAGCATTGCCTCTCCATAAACAATTCCCTTGGGAAATTATATGTTCATTCTAATACTTTTGCCATTACTCAGAACCTTAGGACTTTTCTTTTGGAACCATCCATTACAGACTATAGCAAGAATAAAATAAAACTATAATTATATTCCACTTGCTGAATTTTTTTGGTTAGCACAGGAACTGAAATGTGGCTTAATATCTTCAATAAACTTGCATGAAATGATTTTTGAGCTTAAGTAATTTTGACTATATATTAAGTTTTTCATTGTGTCTTTCAGGTTAGTGGGAAAGTAGCTAATGTAATAAAGGAATAATTTATTAAATTCTGTTCAATTATACTGTCTCCTCTCATTTGATCTTTTTTCTGGGAATGGCTTTTATATTTCAAGAATTTTATTTTCTTTTTTCAAAATTAGCATATATTTTTGACCAATCTTACCAGTAGTGAATTCTAGTATTTTGCATGTGGATTGGCTATCAGGAAACAGCCTATTAGTTCTCAGAGTCAAGTCCAGGTTTTTATTCACTAGACTTGACTCCAAGAGTTTACAGTTAATCTCTTCAGGATGCTTTGGACCAAAGCATTCTGAAGAGACTAATCTTGAGGTCTAATGTGGATGCTTTATAAACTGTAGAGGACCCAACGAAGTGTATAATATTTTATAGAAATGAAGCAAACATGTAAATATTCTGACTTGTTTTATCATTAAAATGTATAAATGAATGCAAGGGGTTGGAGAAGCCCCTGAAGCAATTGTAGACGGAGGCCTCTCAAAGTAAGGGAGACGGGCAGTATTAGAACAGGGTGGTTTGTTAAGGTTGATGTATAAGAAAAATTATAGCTATGCTTGTAGTGCTTCCTGAGCTGTATTTTGTTATCATGGAAACTTAAGTCTTTAAAAGTTAGCAAAGCATAGGTCTTTCTGAAATTGAGAAGGGTTTTAAACATTAACTACTTTGGAATGCTAAATTAGTGTAAGAAAAGCTTTCTGTACTACAGATTATATAAAAAGAAATTAACTATGGTTAATTAATTCCACCAATATGAATAAGACCTTTTAAGCTTTGTATTCAGGTTTGTTTTGTTTTTCTGTAAGGAGATGTATTGTTTAATTAGTGAAGTATAGTAATACAGATTCACTTCCCAGATCTACAAGTTGTAGGAGGGGATGAAAGATTTAAAGCAAAACAGAAAAGTTGCAATGACAACTCTAATTTTGATCCTCTATCTCCCAAAGGCACATCAGAGTATCATGAGCCTTTCCTACCAAAGCTTTCCTTCCCAAGATGGAAATGAAATCAGAGTTGGCTTATGGGGTTTGAGGAGAGAATGATCATTTCATATTTTTATTACCAGTTTTAACCAGGTGGTTTAAATTGCATAGAGATTTTAGGTGGTTTTTATTTATTGTTTTTAGTCCTTACCTGAGGATATGTTTTTTACTTATTAGAGAGAGAGAGAGAGAGAGAGAGAGAGAGAGAGAGAGAGAGAGATGGAGATAGATAGATAGATAGAAGATAAATAGACAGACAGACATCGATTGGTTGTCTCCTATACGCACCCGACCGGGAATTGAACCAGCAACCTAGGTATGTGCCCTGATTGGGAACTAACCTGAAATCTTTTTTTTCTTTTTTTCTTCTTTTTTTTGTATGAACGATACTCCAACCAGGCCACCTGGACAGGAAAAAGATTTTAGATTTTTAAATTTGGTTATTTTGTAACCATAACTTACTCTCTCTCAGAATAGTGGTAAACTAGTATCTACTTCCAAAACATAGATAAGGTAGTATTTGTGGCCATGACATTTATAGATTTCTGTGAGTTCCTAAGAATTAGCATTTTATGTACAATAACTTTTATAATTATTACTAATCTCAAAGACCTTTGTGGAGACATATTATTCCTTCTGCTGCTGTACGTTAGCTGTTTAGGAGTCTTTAGAAATGAAGTTTTATTAATGCCAGTTAGTGGTAATAGTAAATGTTGCTGTTTGTATTGTTGAAAATAAAATACCTTACATAATACAAGAGTTTATGTTATAGTGAAAGTTAAAAGCATGCTCCAGATACTGAGATGTTTAGAAATTGATACTTAAGAGATTCCCTTTCACACATGATATACAAACACAGTATGCCCATCTTTACTGATTCCTCTCCTGATATGTACCTCTCTCTCCTGCCCCCCACTCTGTCTTAGTAAAGTATATCTGAAAAACCAAGGAAGGACATAGGTAAGCTAGCTGACACCAGATTCTAACTTAGTTATGTTGTGATGTTTTTGAATGAGATTTGTCAATGTACTTTGCAGTATACATATGTTTTGGTATTTGGTTTCTTTTTTTGTTATTTTCATATTATAATTGTAATTATTTTGAGGGTTAGGTTGCATGCATAAGAGTCAGTTACAGAGAAACTAAAAGAAAATTAAGGTAAAAGTGATCATTGCAACTTATTTTTATTTGGTTAATGTATATAGTCTTTATACATTCAGTTTGCAGAAAAGTTTCAGGAATTTAAAGAAGCTGCTCGACTAGCAAAGGAGAAATCACAAGAAAAGATGGAACTTACCAGTACACCTTCACAGGTGGGTGTTTAATTTCTATGCTTACTTATGAGCCTTGTTCATATTAGATGATATCCTTTATGCCAGAGTTAAACTTCAGAACATAACGGCAAAATTAAGATAATTTTCAAAGTGGACATAGAAATGTACCCTTCAGTTCATCTGTAGTAGTCAAGAAAGAAAGGTGTTTGGTTCCATATAGGTATGCTAATGTCTACAAGAATCTGGGGGTGGGGAGGGATTAGCTTAGCAATTAAAGTCAGATTTTTAAAATGTGCATACAACTTAAAAACAATCGTGCCTATGGAGCATAGACTGACCTATTGCTTGTGTTCTGTGATAGTCACTGAGGTGCAGCTGCCGGAGGAGACACAGGGTTGGCTCAGGAAAACGGAGGAGCAGAGTTCAGCTTTGTGCCTTTTCTCTTTAGTGATTATTTTTGACGTTTACTTGGGAGTTTTATGAAGATCAGATGTACAAATGTTTCTCTGGAATAATGTCAGTAGTAGCAGATTTACATAAAACTTTTTTGAGGAAGTAAATAGAAATTGCCTTGGAATTTGGTGACTAGCTAGATGTTTGGAACATTTTAGAAAACTTTCACTATTCACTTTCTTCCCCACCCTGCACCAAACTCTGTTTGGCAAACCCTACTGGTATAAAGAGTTTTGGGTGTGTACTTTTTTTTTTTTAAAGGAAAGGAGAACTCTCAAGTATGCTTTAAAGTACATATTTCTTCACAGACTAAAAGTGTACTCTAGATTGAAGCTTCATTATACCTCCTCTGTACTAACCGTGACCAGGAATAACATGAATGATCATTTTGAAGTTTCCCTTGAATCTGTCTTTCCCCAAGTGCTCTGATGGTATAGTGATACTTTTAAGCATAAAAGCCTATTTAAAATTTAGTACCAATACGTGCTGGGAACTTCAGTTCCTCAGGTGAATGATTGTAGTGTTGCAAGAGAATACTCACATGACCCCAATGAAACTGTAATGGATTATTACATTTTGCCTTTGAACTTAGTTTCTGCTTCTCCAAGCACAACTTGTTTTTGTGTAATTGGCCATGGACTATTACAGGTCGCTAAGATACCTGCTCCTCTTTGGTGGAAGTAGTGTCTTTAAGCCTTTACATTCTTTGAAGGGCTATATCCAAGACATACCATAAGCCCATCAGTATTTGAGAGCCAAAAATACATTGACGCCAATTTATCTTTTCAAAATATTTGAAGTTTGATTGTTAAACGAAGCCAGAGAAATAGTGAAGGGGGAAAAAAAGAATTTTTTTCCCACTTCTCTTTTCTTCCCTTTTTGTGACAGTCCATTGCGGTGTTATTAATATTTGTTTTAGTTTGCAGTATTTGAACGCTGGCTACTCAAATCCTATTCAGCTAAAGAACAGAGCTTGGTTCTCAGTGGTTTAACCCAGTCTGCTAAATTAAGGCTCTGCCTGGAGAATAGAATATGACTCATGAATTCAGCAAAAGGATCAGAAGGTTAAATGGAATAATTAATAATAGTAAACACTCAAGCATAGCTTTTGTTTTTATTTGAGGAGGGATAAACAAGTGGTTAAGAGTATGGGTGTTCAAGTCTGACAAGCTTAGTTATAAATCCTTTTTCTGTCACTGTGTGATCTTGCTAAAATAGCTTATAGATCTATTACTGTTTCATTACTTTATAGGATGGTTAGGAGGAACAAATATGATAATGGCAACATTATTATAACAGACTAGAGGCCCGACACACGAATTCATGCATGGGTAGGGTCTGACCAACCTGCCCTAGTTGGGGCCAATCAGGCCAGACCAGCCAGGGCCTGGGGGAGCTGTGGGTGGTTGACCAGAGTTCTCCTTTCCTGCCCCCTGGTCAAACTCCTGGTTGAGGGGACAATTTGCATATTAGCCTTTTATTATATAGGATGACATTACGACGGTGTCATACGATCACGGCAATAGAGACCATCTTTGAATCTGGTTTTCTGATTAAAGCAAGTTACTATTTAAAAAAAAATTTATAAAATGGGAATAAGAAAGTTACCTTCTTATAGGGTTTTATGAGATTTCAATGAGGATTACAAAATGCTTGCATATAGTAAATGCTTAATAAATGTTAACAGCTGTTGTTGGTAATATGGTTTTAATGGTGCAGATAATGATGTAAAACCTCAATATAGGATCTGGCACATAACAGTTATTTAGAAAAACACAAATTCCTAATTGAATAAAGCCTGCATCCGAAACTCCTGGAAGGGTTAAAACACAAGTTGCTGGTTTCTACCCGCAGAAGTCTGATTTGGTGAGGCTGAGGTGGGGCCCAGGAATGTGCATTTTTAAAAAAATACATATTTTATTGATTTTTTACAGAGAGGAAAGGAGAGGGATAGAGTGTTAGAAACATCGATGAGAGAGAATCATCAATCAGCTGCCTCTTGCACACCTCTTACTGGGGATGTGCCCGCAACCCAGGTACATGCCCTTGACCTGAATCGAACCCAGGACCTTTCAGTCCACAGGCTGACGCTCTGTCCACTGAGCCAATCCAGTTTCTGCAGGAATGTTCATTTCTAACAAGTTTCCAGAGATGCTGATGCTGTCAGTCTGGGGACCACACTGTGAGAAGCAGGTCCGTGGACAAACCATTCCACCTCTCTGAAGCAGCCTGGCATTGAGCGCAAAGTTATCCACTTTCCCTCTCTTAAACTTCTGAGTGCGGTCATGTCAGATAATCTTATTTTTAAAAATGATTCTTTATTGTTGAAAGTATTACCAATAGTCTTAATGTTTCCTGGATAAAGGATGCATCTTTAGGGAATAGGTTGAATTACATGTTAAATGTTAGTTTCTTTCATATTACCCTTTAAATAACAGACATTAACTTAAAACTTTTTCTGTATGGAAGATCTTATATTCATATGTTTCCATGGAAATCTTATAACAATTTTATATCAAATCAAGAGTTATGACTGGTTTTACTCCTGAAATTTTTTATATGGTTCACAGTAAAAATACTACATTCCAGTTAACTTGTTAGTTTTTTTTCTCTCTCTCAGAATATGCATTAAAGGGTTATATAATCAGATGCTATCAAAATTTTTCTTCATTGGAGTCTAGAAAAACAATTTAGCTGTCATTCGTCTAAGACTTTTAAATTGAGTCAGGAAAGAGAAAGAGAAGAATAGAAGGAAGAGATCATAGATGGAGCATTATGCAGAAGGTACTGCTATGAGGGGGGAGGATGGAAACAGATTAGCCACTATATCTGAGACAGGAAGGAAGGATAAAAATGGATTCAGATACAGATAAGAGGGAGATTGAGGAAATCTCTGCCAATTTATTTCTATATTCTCTGTGAAAGAAGAATTCAGTCATTCACTGAGAGGAAGGACAACTAAAAAGAGAGAAGGTTTGAACAGAGTTTTGGAAACAGCTGTTAGGTAAAGAAAAGAAAAAAAAAAAAGAAGAATCAAACGGAGTAAAGATTACTTCAAGATCATAATTAAAGTCAGAGCTCAAAATTATCTTCATGGCACCAGTCAGCATATTTAACAGTATTTTTTTCTCTCATAGCTCTTGGTAGCTTGGGCATATAAGAATAGGGAATGATGGCTCATTTTATATCAAATTAAAATTGACAGCATAGATGTTATAAAAGGTAAAGGAAACCTGAAAACTGGGATGATGTTAGTGAGAGTATAATGAACATGATTGGCTTTCCGGTGTATGGAGAGCGATCTTGAGGTCGAAGAGCAGGTGGGAAGTGGGTTGGGTTGAGAGGACAGGAGGGGATGCAGCACAAGTTCTCTTTGGTTGGAATCAAAACTAGTAGTTGATGAGTTAATCTAAAAAGTCAGTTAGCCGAAACCAGTTTGGCTCAATGGATGGAGCGTCGGCTTGGGGACTGAAGGGTCCCGGGTTCGATTCCGGTCAAGGGCATGTACCTTGGTTGCGGGCGTATCCCCAGTGGGGGCTGTGCAAGAGGCAGCTGATTGATGTCTATCTCTCATCGATGTTTCTGACTCTCTGTCTCTCTCCCTTCCTCTCTGTACAAAATCAATAAAATATATTAAAAAAAAAAAAAAAAGAATGGTGGGTGTCTCTCTTCTGCCAAATTAAAAAAAAAAAAAAAAGTCAGTTAATGTGAAGAATTTTAAAAAGATTATTTAAAATTTATAAATTAAAATTCAATACTATTACGTTTATATACTCATCCATATTTTAGAGTTGAAGCCTTTTCTTTTTGAATATGAATCTATTGGAATTCCATGTTGTCTTTCTTATATAAATTATATCAATAATTAATTGCCTGTAATTTTCTGGATATTTTTTCTCAAAATAAGCTAACCCTTGGCACTTGCAAAGAAATCTGCATGTTATATTAATAGATTTTTCTGATATTGTTTATAATTGACCTGGAAGGAGTCGTTTTGGATAGTGTTCCCATTATTTCCTTAGTACTCTTTGACTTTGTTGTAAACAATGTTACGTTGTTTAACATTATCCTTTAAGCTTTACCCAGGCATTGACTATTAGTGGAAACAAAGAGGATTCAGGAGAAAGATTTAATGAGTGAAATTAAAGTTTGAAATAGAGGTTCCATTAATATTTAAAAAATAGTTAAGTGAGAATGTGGAGTCAAGAGAGTCTTTTGATCTTTGATAGCTTATATAATTTATAGCATGGTACTATTAGCTAAATTATATTTAAGTGTGAAATAAAATGCATTCAGTGGTGTAAAACCAGAAGCCCCCTTTAAAAAAAGTTAGTCTTACCACATCAATATTTTCCATATTTCTTCCCAGCACTTCATGTCCAATATTTTTCATGTAAAGTATATAAATTATCATAACATAGGCTTTTTATATTCTCCTATATTTTTTCCTAATTAGAAGCATTTCCCTGTATTAACATATTCTCATTGATTATATTTTAGGAAATCTTGTATTCTTCTAAGTTGACAAATTATGACCATACCTAACCAGTTCCCTGGTGATATTTTCATTTTCTTCCTTAACAATAGCCTAATATTTCAAGTGTAAAGTTCTATTTCCCAGCAATCACAAGGGGCCCACCAAGTTGCTCTTTCAGTATCTGATGCTGGAACTTCACCTGGTTAACATTTTATCAAATGACCCCTCATTCTGATTTCTAATATCAAATTTGGATAATTTGATCATGGCAGATGCAAGAAAAAGTGTCTTCTTGAGCTTCATTTTAAATTCAGTTTAATTTCCTAAGGGATAAATTAAATTTACCTTGATAGGCAGATCAATTAAAAGTAGATATAAGAGGAAATTTTGTGAAGAAAAATAATTCTATTTTGAGTAGGAGTCAAGAAAAGCTGAAATACACGGACATCATTATGTATGTTATAGAGGTATTTCTGATTGCTTTTCTAAGTAATTTCAGGAGTTGAGAAGTAGGATAGGTAAAAAAATTAAAACTTTTTGAAGATTTCTCTCTCCACTTCTCTGTCGTACCCTCCCAAATAAAACCTCACACCTTCTTGAATTTTTGTGCCATCTTCTCTTTCTTCTCAGGCAATTCGTTGAATATCTTTTATTCTAACTAATTAGTTGCTTATGTAAGCCCCAAAGTGTTTTAGTTCTTTGCAACTATATTCTAACTTGTGTTAGGTTTCAGGTAGTTTTATTGTGATTTGCTTTGCTTTAAAAAATTTACTTCTTCAAATTTCATTTTTAAGTCTTTGATTCAAATTTTAATTGAAATACAGTTCATAAGTAAGCATACATCAGAGCCAGTTTTAACTTTAAGATGATCTTGTGTCTTTTAGTAGAAGTATAACACTTTTTATCCCTTTGTTTTTAAGGAATCAGCAGGCGGGGACCTTCAGTCTCCTTTAACACCAGAAAGTATCAATGGGACCGATGATGAAAGAACACCTGATGTCACACAGAACTCAGAGTCAAGGGCTGAACCAACTCAGAATGCATTGCCATTTTCACATAGGTACAAATTCAATTCAACCATCATGATTCAGTAAACTATGTTTCTATGTAAACATGGAAAGTTATTTGGGTTTCGGATGAATCTTGCAAAGTTATAATCCTGAGTGAAAATTCCAGGTCAGATGTTTTTAACTGTTTTTGTTAACCTCAGAAAGATTTTAATAATTTATAGTTGCCTGGAAGGGCAGGAATGAATGTTTCCTTTATCTGTATAAAAAAGGGCTACTGACTAGTAATAGTACAAATCATTTTTCAGTGAAACAAAATGTGTGTTATTTTAAGTCTCTTCTTATCTTCTAACACAGTTGCTGAAAGGCTCCTTGTGTTAATCTGGTTTCCATTTTCATGTATGTTCTTGAGGGTTATAATTTAAAAAAATAATTTCCCACTCTGAACTTAAGCTTTCCATAGTTTTAGAGGTGATCTCACTGTGTGATTTCACAGAAGGAAGCAAGTTATTGGGGTAATTTCTAGAATGAACCTGTTAATGTGAGGATTATTTTTGCACACCATCTAACAGAAAATAAATCTTCACATGCTTCTGAATTTTAAAAAAGAATTTGATACTTTAAGCAGGTACAGTTTATCCTACATGTGTTCCAAATCAGTCACATTAATTATGGGATTTTGGGGATGTAAGGATGTCTATGAAACTGCATTATTGCAAATGTAAACAAATACCTATCAGTCATTGTCTTAAAGTTCATTTTTACCCTTCTTTGGCAATTTTTGACTTGGTAGTTTTCTTTGAAATTAAGGAAACAATTTTCCTTTGTTGTGCATCTCTTTTGGAGACCAGATTTTTAAAATCAAATTCTTTAGCATATTCAGAAGAATTGTGAAGTGAGATATTCCAAACTCTTATTTATGAGAGCCTTAATTTTGACTGAACTTGTTGGGTATTAAGGGCATAGCATTGAACATATTAGAGACTAGCATTGAGGGACCTTATGGTCAGGCTCAGGAAGAAAAAATTAGGTAAGGTTTATTTTTTAAGGAGTGAATGGGTAGAAACTATTTGACAGTGAGGCTGTTCTAACTTATTTAAAAAAAATGCCTATTTGCACAATCAGTAGACATATCTTGGAATTATCATGGAGATCATGCTTTACTATTGCATTTAAGCATTGTTTTCTTTTCTATAGCTGTAGAAACAATGGAACACATGAAAATGTTTAGTTCTGATCTGAAGACTGTGATTTGTAAAACATTCAGGCTTTTAAAATATGCAATTACAATTAAAGAGCAATTTTAAAAAAATGTTTATGTTGAGGGAAGAAAATGTCCTTTTTTATTAAATTATATTTAGTATATCCATTTAGTAAATAGACTTCACTACACTGAGTATAATTATAAACTTGAATTCTTTGCAATAATCAAGTCATGTGCATTGAATAGTTTAGCATTTAGAAATAGAATTTTTCTATTTAATATTTGTAAATGCTATTTCTAGTTTACTTTATGCACCAAAAGTTTTCTGAATGTTTATTGCTTTGCTAATCCTTGGTATTTGGAGTTTCTAACTGGTATTGGTCATTGGATGATTTTCTCCTCCTGGGAGAGTCTAATAGGAGTTATTTACTTTGATTTGAACTTCTTTGACTACTGGAATCTACAGATTAGCCGTGGAGATATTTGAGTTCTTAAAGTAAAACTTAAACAGGTCAATTTAAGCTTTTAATTGTGTTAAAAGCATTACGTAATCTTATAGTTTTCTTATTATTGTAAAGACGTTTTAGCTATAGGATTTTAGATTTATTCTCTGACCTTGTTTTGATTTCTACCTGAGACAAAAGATGATGTATATTGTAGTTAATGTTAGAATTCCAAAATGTCAGTTAGAAGAGACTTCAGAGATCATATAATCTAGGATTTTTTCAAACTGTGGTGATTTAAAATCAATTTAGATTATTCATGGCATTCTGAATATGAAATAAAAACCAAATAGGAAATGTCAAAGTAAAGTGCACATTAAGAGTAGGAACTTCAGCTCAGCTGGAGTGGCTTTGTTGGTTGAGCGATTTCCAGTGCACCAAAGGGTTGCCAGTTCGATTCCTGGTTGGAACATGCGTGTGGGTTGTGGTTCGATTCCCTACTGGTGCTCATGTAGAGGACAATCAAATGATGTCTCTCTCCCTGCCTCCCTCCCTCCCTCCCTCCCTCCTCTTCCTCTTCCCCCTCCTCTTTCTTCCCCTCCCCCTCCCTCCCTCCCTCTCTCCCTCCCTCTTTCCTCTCTCTGAGCATGTCATTGGGTGAGGATTTAAAAAAAAAGAGAGTATAAATTTTGTTTCAGTAATGTACATATTTATATGTGTGCTGGATTAACTGTTCCTATTATCTTGTGTAGAGAAAAGATCACTGGAAGACAATTAAAATTTGTTTTAAGGCTTATTTAGACCATTTGTCTTTCTTCCTTAGTACATTAAAAGTTTTTCTTTTATTTTTCAATTATAGTTGACATTCAATGTTATATTAGTTTCAGGTGTACAACATAGTGATTAGACATTTATATAACTAATGAAGTGATTTCCCCCATAACTCTAGTAACAACCAGACACCATATATAGTTGTGTGTGTGTGTGTGGGGGGGCAGCTAGGAGCGATCAGGCAAGCAGGCAGGTGAACATTTAAGAGCCAGCAGTCCTGGATTGTGAGAGGGATGTACAGCAGTCAGACATCCCCCGAGGGATCCTGGATTAGAGAGGGTACAGGGTGGGCTGAGGGGGACCTGCACAAATTTCATGCACCGGACCTGAGTACACTAAATAAAGTAGCTATATACTTATGGACTAGCATATACCTATGGAGAAGGTTTTGTTCTTTTATTCTAGGGAGTATTGTTTGCTTCACAGCATCAGCTATGTGAAATTCTGAAATTTATTATTTCTTAATAATAATAAATTCCAGGATTTTTTGTTTTTAAGATTTAAAGCTATTTAAAATTCTCTTGGAAATAGTTAATTTCATAGAATTCTCATGCTGTTAAAATATAATACTGAAATATAATATTGAAAATTAAACTTTTAATTTTGTGTATTATAAATTTATGACCTTCGGAGTTACAGTTATATATGATAAATAACTGCTGTTACATATTTGAGCATTCCAAACAGATATATAGACATTAGTAGCGTGTGAAACTATTTTTGTACTAATAAATTTTAATAACAGTTTGATTATGTTAATGAAAAATAGGCTATTTTAAGCACTGATTATATTTTGATTCTTGTAATGTTTAGATGATAGAATCTTTTAAAAAATATATTTTTATTGATTTCAAAGAGGAAGGGAGAGGGAGAGAGATAGAAACATCAATGATGAGAGAAAATCATTGATCAACTGCCTCCTGGTCGCCCCTACTGGGGATTGAGCCTGCAACCCAGCACATGCCCTTAGTGGGAATCAAACCTGGGACCCTTCAGTCCACAGGGCAAACTAGTGAGGGCAATAGAGTATCTTGGTGCTGCTAGAGTTTATGCATTTTGGGAGTACTGCCTATAGAACTATTGTGTATAAGCGATTTTTCTGCCACTACATGTTTCTGAAAAGTATTTATTAAAGGATGTATGCAGAAACATTACTTTTCAATATATTGATTTTGCTTTAAATCAGCAAACTACAAGTTTACTAAAATTTATGAAATCTGGCTGGGTTCATTTCATTTGTATTTTTAGATTTGTTCATTATCATAATTTTGGAAAGCTACTATTTTAAAACTGATTTAGGAATCCTTTGACAGTTTCAAAAACTAAATTGCGTTGGAGATGTCACATGTCATTTAGTTACATGTTAAAATTTTTAAAAAGTGCTTTATATCAAATCAAATGCAGTTTGTACTTCAAAGATGATAGAAAGGAAAAAAGTGAATGGCTGTGAAGAGCATTGGGGTCTGTACTCTCAATAGCTCTGCCAATTGTCTCTTTTATGGACAGAGAAGAAAACTTGTATGATTATAGACATGAACTACAATGGGAATGATTTTGGCAGGTAACTTGTGTGTGTAAAGCTGGGACTGGCTTAACAAGAAGCACTTTGTCATTGATACAATTGCAGATGAAAACTGCAAGTTGTGGGATTCCTCTTATTGTTGCAGTTCCAATTGACTTAAGTGCCTTCCACCACTAACCCTCAGAATTAGACTAGGTTTTTAAGAGTTCACTTGAAGGCCAAGATAGTTTGTGAGGGATTGTAACAGAACCGTTTGGAGATGTCAGAGTTTCCTTTGTCATCATTGTGAACAGGTAACACTTGATACGAAAGTGCTCTAGTAATTTGGTAACGTATGCACTTAGACATTCTCTAGGAAGTGAAAAGCAATTTGTACATTTTTAAACAAGATGCAATAAAAAATATAGTTTAGTGACCAAGAATGTTTATTGGTTTTCTGAAGAAGTATAAATTTCCTATCTTGAATTTTTAAAGAACTAACCTTTATTCTCATCTGATGTGTGAAAAGATTTTGAAGAAACTTCAAAATTTGCTGAAGCTTTTTCCCCCCAGGCATTATAACTTAACTAGAGACCCAATGCACGAATTTGTGCAAGAGTAATCCTCTGCAGCCCCGGCTGCCTCGGCCCTCGCAGCCCTTGCTTTTTCCAGAAGGTCATCTGCTGTTCAGCTGTTTGGTCGATTTGTATATTATGCTTTTATTATTGTAGATATAGGTTATTTACAAGAAGAAAAATACTACTCATTTGATATAAAGACATTACTAACCACCTTCAATAGAGATTAGTCCTTTTTCCTTCTCCTTGGCATTGACATTGTTGGCAAAGAATTAATGGCAAAGGCCGAAACCGGTTTGGCTCAGTGGATAGAGCATCAGCCTGCTGACTGAAAGGTCCCAGGTTCGATTCCATACAAGGGCATGTACCTTGGTTGCAGGCACATCCCCAGTAGGGGGTGTGCAAGAGGCAGCTGATTGATGATTCTCTCTCATCGATGTTTCTGGCTATCTATCCCTCTCTCTTCCTCTGTGTAAAAAAAAAAAATCAATAAAAT